GATTTAAATTAAAAATACATAAATTCAAGAGAAAAAAACAATATTCGAGTGGCTGATATTGTAATTCTAAGACAATAACCTTATTTTGTTACTAAGCTTAACCTAGTTTTTCAAAAGAGTAAAACATTTTACCTCTGTTGATTGCCATTTGTACAATTACACATCAGCCAAGCATGAAAGAAAAATATGTAGTATGTTTCTTTTAATTCTATGAGATCAATAACAATGACAAAATTATTAATCAACCTTTGATGATTTATTATTTATGCCATTGGATATTAGGAACAAAATTCTCTGAACTAGATTGTTCAATAACTACCTTTCTTTATTTGTTTTATTTTTTCTCCTGAATATAAAGAATCTTATCATCATCTTCAACAATAGTAATAAACATTGTTTGATCATCTTCTAATACCAAGGCTGTGTGCTGGAAGCTAAAATTAGAAAGATATAATATCACCTTTCAGAGAGCATACAGAACTCCTGATTTTAAAAAATAAAAAACATGAGAAGCAAACAAAATACAAGGCAGTACAAGAGTGCCAAATGGGTGTTCTTAACAGTAACATGGAATTGTGAAGGAGGAAGATTTCTAATATTAGGACAATCAAATACAGCATGACAAAGGTGATAGAACTGAACCTGGGCATTACGGAAAAATGAGTAAAATCTAGTTAATATTGAAATAGACATCAATTTATTGAAAAAAAATGAAGAAAGGTTCTGGGCATTCTGGAAAAAAAAATACGTTAAGAGAACAAAACATTACAAGAAAAGTGCTGTGAAACCAAAACCAAACAACGAACAAGCAGGGGGATATGCAGGTTCTTACTGCTCAGGAGTTTGGGGTATTTATCACATGGCATGAGATTCCTATGGTCTCGCTAGCTTCTGAAACAGCTCTGCTTTTAACATTTGAAAATTTATTACCTAATTATTTCATTTGCCCTTTTGAAGAGTCTCTCTGCAGGACACTTTTTGAGAGCGAGAGTAAAATAAGCCCTTGGAAAGTCGTCCCCCACCCATTGCATTAAAAGCAAAATAACCTTTTATCAAATGCTTTGTGACCATTTAGAATATTGAATTTGTATTTTAATCATGGAGTTCAACAAGACTATAGCCAGTGGGAATGACTTAATTACAAATGATGTCTTTCTCATGGTTATGCTGGCAATCTCAAGGGATGCTTTAATGAAGTTCTGAACCCTCAGACAGGAAAGGTCAAATGGCTTTTCTCCCCCAGTACCTCAAAGTGCACATAGCTGCCACCTTTATCCTAGCAGATGTTCAACCAGGTACAAAATTAGCCTGAGGCAAAAATTCCAGGAAACACAAATTCACAGGGAAGGAGTTCTCTGGAATTTAGTGGATAATAGAGTAGCCTCTTTCAGAGTTGGAAGAGGAGATGAATTTAGATAATCTTCATTTGAATATAAATGTAAATTTCATTAGGAGTGTAATATGCCAGGAGGAATACCATTCTGCTTGCAAATTTATTACATATTAAAGATTCATGATATTTTAGATCAATATTCTTTAAATGTTGATAGTGTTCCTGCTATGTTTATAGTATGCACATATTTAACTTTGTGTTAGGTTAAGCCAGATGAAATTGCCTTTTGGGCAGGTCAAATATGGTTGAATATTCCATTTTATTTGGTTCCCAGTTACTCAAATTGTCATACAATTAGCCAAAGAATGCAAAGTTACATTTTATAACACCATTTTGATCTAATTTTCATTCTTAAAAAATACTTTTGTAGTAAGCTAAACAAAACCTTTTCAAAATGTGTGGGTATATTTATTATCCATTATCTCTAAATTTCTGTTTGCTTTTAAAGAACTGGCCTTGATTTTCAATTTGGATTTTTAGGCTTTGTATCTAGCACTAGCCAGGTAATTTAAGGTAAGAGCTGACATGAATTTTAAGCACATGTCATTCTAAAAATTAATAATGAAGAAAATATCTGGGTTTTCTTGAAACTAAAAAAAGCTGGTCATCCTATCTCATCCAAAACAAAAACAAAAACACCTCAATATTCAATAAAGGATGAGTTTCCATACTAATTAATATTTTTAATAATTAGAGGAAATCTTTATATACAGAATACTCTTTGATATGGTTTTCCTTTGAAAAGATATGTCTTTAATTTTTTTTACAACATACACCTTTGTAAAATATTTAGTCATGAAAATAGATTCATATTTTATTTACTCAAAAAAAATTTTTTACCAAAGCTTATAACTTAGCACTGATGCATAATGATAATTAATGACTGGTCAAATTAATGCGTACCTCTGTAAAGCGCTATTTAGCTGAATGCTAATTAATGAAACACAAAAATCTTTTTAAAAGACTCTTAAACCTAATTCCAATGTAAATTTTAAATAGTAAGCAACGTGAACTCCAAAAAAAGAACGAAAATGTATATAATAACTAAATTATATTTAATTTAAGTGAAAAACACTTAAAACACACTATTGACAGCTTAAGTACTTGTGATTAAAAATACTGGAGATCTTCTAACAAAGACTAGTAAGGAGGCAACTTGGAAGGGGAGATGGGAAATGGGAGTGGGAGAGGATTGACAAGACAACTCTTGTCAGGAACAGCAGAGGTAAGTAGCTGTCATGATTTCTGGAAGCCCATCTCAATTTGTGTTCTACCTGAAACAAACAAACAAAGAAAATTTTAGTGTAACTTCCTGTACTTTGACTAAACTGCAAAACAGACGGTTTTGAGTGGTTAACGAACAATTTCCGAAGAGAATGCACTGCATTCTCTTAATTCTCTTGTGTATAGAACAGACACAAGATAAAGGAACAAGGGCCCATCCATGGGCCAGCTGATTTGATTTACTCCCCAGACAATTCCTAGAAATTAGGTTTTTAAACTGAGGGAACATGATCTGTATTTCAACTATCTCTGTATGATAACATAACCACACACCATCAACCTCACCACCTTTATGGAGCTTTAATATAAAAATTGTAGGGTATTTGTTTGTAAGCCTAATTCTTTTATGTTTCTTAAAGTGCCATCCTGAACATTTACAAGAAATTGCATAAACATTTTTTTAATAGTTAAAAAGCAGACATGTATCTTACTTGTACTGGCAGTTAATATGGGGGCCTACAGTGTAACAGCCGTCTCAATAGCCACGAAATTAACGACATAAAATTGCAAAACCTTCAGCGGCCTGTGGGAAGAAACAGAAAAAAATGAAAAGAGGCATCTTGCTCGGGTTTTGAAATTACAAGGAAGGTGTTGAACTGCCTGTTGGCGGATTCGTTTTTAATTATTTCATTTTGAATATAACTGTCTTCATTCAGTGAGGGTTTGTTGAGTGTTTGATTTGTCTGGAATAAAATCTTTCCAAGAGGCACATGTTAAATTACCAAAGACTCGAATGGCAAGGGCAAACCTGGGCGCATGAAATGGTGAGATAGGTCTAGAAAAAGTGGAAGGATTTTTTTTTTTTTTTTTTTAATCTCCTTCCCGCCTCTCTCCAAAGAGGAAGCCGCCTCCGCGGATTTGGATTTATCTTTAAGACAATAGCGCCTCTCGCCGCCTTCCGCACAGCTCAGATCGCGTGCCTGATCCCTGAGCGCCCCTGCCTCACCTGACCCCCTGCTTCACTAGTTCACCTGTCCCACAAGTCACCTTCCCCACCGGCGTCCATGCCTCACTGGTCGGCGTAACTCACCTGCGCCCCTGTCCCACTGACGCCCCTCCCCTACTAGCTCTTCTGCCCACGAGAACCCCTGCCCGGTCAATCCAACGCTCCGTCATCAGTTCGCTGGCCCACCAGGCTCCCTACCCCACCGGTCCCCCTGCCCGACCAGCGCCCCAGCAGCGGCAGTTGTGATGACCCCCGTGGGGCCTGTGCCTGCTCTAGAACGGCTGGTGAGAGCCGGGGGCGCGCTCGCTAGTCCCTGGACTTCCCAGCGCCACGTGCCCGCGGTGCCCTGCACTCCCCCCGAAACCCCCCGCCTCTCCCGCCCGCCAGCCAGCGTCTCGCCTCCTCCCTGGCTAGGGGCCCCTCGGGCTTGTTTGCTTGTCCTCATCCCCAGGCCAGTCCGCTCTCTCCTCCCGGCTGCTTCAACAGCCGTTTGCTTCCTGCGGTGTGTTTCTTTTTTCCCCTCCTAGGCTTCATCAAAGGTGGCTCTGTTATTGAAATATGAAGCCATTTCCTCTCCAAAACCCTTGGTTACTCAAGGCGGGAATCAATGGACCTATATACTCTCCCAAGAGTTATAAATAAATGTCTATTTGTTCAGGAGGCGTTTTCCCGCGTGTCTCCAGCATCTTCCCCAGTGGTTATTTTAGGGTGGGTGGGTGTGGGTGTGTGTGTGTCTGCAAGCGCCCTGTGCCCATCTGGTTCTAATCCTGGGTATGAATCTATAAGCCAGCTCCACCCATCCCGTCCGCCCCTCGCATTCCTTACTCCATAAATAAATCCAGGTTTTTTGAGCTCTATCATCCAGGAGTACAATAGCGATTGTTTGTTAACGGAGGTTCAAACCCAATATTGATACCGAGTCCAGTAAAAAAAGAAAGAAAGAAAGAAAATATGCTTCTGGCAATTTAGGTGGAAGGGCACCTCCAGTTTTGGAAGCTTTCTGTGCTGTCGTCATAATTGCCTCTACCTGGTTACTGTGGATTTACTATGGGGAGAGGGAAGCAGGAAAGCCAGGACCTTTCCTACCGTTGGATTTTCCTTTCAAGCACAGGCTGAACAGCAAAGTGAAAATTCACTGTCCTGGTGTGTCTGCCTCACACTGCTGGCCCACGATCATTCCACAAATCCCTTGCCCCAGCCTCTCTAGACACACCCTAGGGTGCAGGAGGTGTGGTGTGGGTAGGGGCTCGTGATTGTAGCTGCCGCTTTCCCCTTACGGGATCTGAGCAGAAGGGAAAGTCATCTAAGAGCTGCTGTTTCACAAGGTCGGGGCATAGAGCTGCCCCTCCCTTCTCTGAAGTTTGCATGAAGTGCACGTTAGGCTGTAATTAGGGGATCTGGGAGGAGAACTTTCCTGGTGACGCTTTGCTTTTCTTCTGCTCATGGTGAGAAAGTGCCTCCTTCTTCCCAAGACCAGGACCTCTGCCATCCAGTGCCACAAAGAGACATTCTGCGCGCACACACACTTACACCCGCGCACACACACTTGCCCAGAGACAAACTTAAGGTGAGGGCAAAGAGCTCTAGCTTCACTTGATCTCCAGCTCCAACTTCAGCAAGACTTGAGAGCATCTGAACTTCTGGATTTCGGGACAAGGTAAAACTTCCACAAATTTTTTACTATTTCCATCAAACCTTGATGTTTTTAACATTTCAGAAAGCAATGCATATCATGATATATGTATACGTTAAAGCAGATTTTCTTTAATTTTCTTTTGAGTTTAACATAACATCTCAACTTTCTTTAGGATTCATATTGTCAGATTAAACACTGTATTGCCATAAACAAGCTCAGTCTAGAAACAGGGCAAGGACTAACTCTACTATCCTGGCTTTTGCATGTGCTACAATAAATCTGGTAAATGCATGGTTTCTAAGCGATAGCTTTTCCATCCGTGCTTCAACAGGCATTTTTATAACACCTGAGATGAAAAAAAAAGAATAGAATAGGCTGAAAGAAATGCTGAGGAATGGGACTGTCCATTCCAGATTTATGAATTTTGTTTTAGGGACTATATAGGTTTGTGTGAAAAAAAGAAAGCTACTGTAATCATAGATAATACCTGTTAGATTGATCACCTTTGAAATATTACTGATTTTGGTCCAGGCTTCTGTTAACTGAAATTAAGATAATAGAATTATGATGCATTTCATATATATAATCACGTTGGTGGATAATTTTAATGTGCTGAAAAAAATTTTGTCATAGTCATTAAGGTTATTTTTTAAAGTTGGTTTAAGGAATTATTTATATGTTGAAACTGTTCACCACCCTAAGCAAATCTGAACTCTTTGGGGGCTTAAATGAAGTTGTTTTCTTCCATTGACTATAACTGTTGTGTTCAAAATAAGATGGTTTATTGTTTTGCAAATAAGTTATTTTCATTTATCACTGGAAAAAATACACAAAGTGGTCAGTACAGTTGGGAATTTTTAGGGTGGAAAGTGTTTCTGTACATGTTCCAGCGTGATGTCATAAAATCAAACATACTGGCTGGCTTCTTGGAAGCTAACGGTTCTTGAGAAATAAAGCCTGTGAATTAATTTCTAAGTGAAATGTAATATTTATTCATTACAAATGTAGTTTCTGGTAACCATTTCTGTGATTATTTCAGTGTACTAAATTTGCAGTAATTTTATACATACTTCACTGACTTCAATATTCTAATGGATCATAAAATGGGAATATTGTTCTACCAAAAATGTATCATCGTAGTTCTCTCTGGATAACGTTTAATGTAATATTTCTTAATCTTTACATCAGTTTTAACTTTACATTCATTTATTTCACCAATAAAGAAGTTTTTCCTTCCATTTATTAAAATAGAAGTTATGCCAAAGGCCTGTTGAACATTTAAGTTTTAGTCTCTAGTTACTATTGGGCTATCTGTTCTTATTAATTTAATTGTTTAAGCTAAGAGAATGACTTTACATTTTTGGTAACTGCTTTCACAAAATTGGAAACAGCTTAAAAATAGGAAAACTAGATAAGGACAAGTAATTTTGCTTAAATTTAACTAAATGAACAAGAGAAAAGCAACAGCCTATTGAGACCCCTGGTCCCCAGGAAGAGCATACCCTGAGTCCAGTATTTCAGATAGGAGTGTTCAGAAGTCCTGGCTGGGCTTTCTATGAGAAACAAGAAAGAGAGGAATATCATGTTCTTATAAAGTGAGTTATTTATTGTTAGCAAGGCTCTGTCTCTTAGAGGAATGACTGACGCTATAATTTAGAAGTACTGAAGAGACTTTCACAGAGAAGAATCAATTCATTATATCTCTAGTGGTTTCACTTCCTTTTCCTTCCTCTGGGAGCAAGTAACACATCCAGGATAAATACATTTGGAGTATACAGAGTATGAGTAGATGGTCTGCTAAACAGACCTGCCTTTTTAGCACCCTGGGTGTGGAATATTGGCATTTTCTGAGTAGTTGAAGAAGTCTTTGAACCTTTAGGTAGCACTGTGCTTCATCTTTGAAAAGATAAACAAGAATCAAAGTCAGAAAATAACTCTTCTTTTCAGAAAATACTAGTACTAGCTTTGCCCTCATTTCTTTTGCCCCTTGCATGTTTTATTTTCCGGATTACATTTTTAAGATAATGGTATTCCACCAATTAGCATTCCAATGAAATAAATGCAAAGCAAATTTGAAAATAACTTTTACTTTACAGTCTATTGTTGCCTCTAGTTAATTTTCCGATAGTCTGGATTCATTATTAGTAACTATGGTACTCTGTACATGTTATTTAAACAGTCGGTTTTTTTAAGGTAGCAAAATGTAGTTAGGGGGAAATGGGGAGGACTGGAAACTTGAATATTCTTAGGATTTTAATCAATAGTGTGTAAGGGGGATTAGAGGAAGCAGCTGGTTAAATAAATATGAGGCGTAGAGTGGACGTGATGGTCTAAATTAATAATGCAGCTCTTTATTTACACCATGAATGGGAGGGTCTGTGACAGTTAAGTGTGTAAAGCACGGTCCCTAGGTGCCACCTAGTGGATGAGTCAAAGAAAGCTTTCTCACCAGTCATTAAAAAATTCGGAGATTTCCATTCTGTTGACATTGAACTCTAACTACACACCAAGACACTGGAGTAGGTACTCAGAGTAGAAAATACAGCAAGTGACTTTTATATAATTTAAAAGTCAAGGCACCACTTAACAGTTGATTAAATTCCTGGTGGTTACATTTAAAATCAGTTTACTCTTTACTGGGTAATTTACCGTCAACTTTCTGCCTCCATGAAAATACAGTTAAATAGCCATAACTTGCTTCTAATATAAGATTTGTTTTTTGCAGAGAAGTCATGGCCTAGTTCAAAAAAGAGTGCGGAGAGTTTGATTCTTGAATCACTGTTTTTTCAATTGGAAATAAATCTCAAGAGTAAATAATTCCTAGCTTAAAAGGTTAGCACACAGATACTAGCATGTATTATTACATATGCTTTAATTTTTCCTTTAATATACAAAGATAATAGTAAAAATCGCTTTTGGGTAGTGAGGTACTTTTTACAAAAGATTGCTTTCAAATTCTAATAATTATCACATAGAACAACTTCTTCTATACCTGTTGTTTATCTGTAGTCTTGAAGTAGAAATGTTGCTTCCATTAAGTTGACATAATAGAAAAAAAAAAGTCCTAGACAAGAACAATCATAAAAAAAGCCAGTGTTTCAAAGAAGCATCAGGTTGTCACAGAAGATTAATTCATCAGAACATTGCACTTGAGAGTTTTGAAAAACTTTTCTCTAGGAGATATACGAATTATTGCTCAAATTGGCTTTTTGCAAGATGTATGACTTAACAGCAACCATGTTCAGCACATCAGCATTAATCAAGACAAGTTCCAAAATTCAGATTGGAAGGTAAAATACCTCAGACAGAAAAAAAAAAAAAAATTAATCTGTTATTCGCTGAGCTATAACCCACAAATCGAGTTAGGCCTGCTGGTGTGGAATGGAAGTTTTCTATTTAGGGAACTTTGGTTTTGTGTACAGCAGTGAGACCTACATGGCGAAAGAAAAAGGGCAGCTCGTTAAGTCTTTTTTCATTAATGCTGCAAAATTATAGCCTGAATTGATCAGAGGTGATGGCTGGAAACACTAACAACCATGCAAAATAAAACATATTATCTTAATTTGTATTTCCAATAAGTCATTATCCACCGGAAGCAAGACATTCTGTTGACAATTTCATCTGATCCTCCTTGTGATTTAGAATGATTCACAGACTCGCGCTAGTGAAAGAGCTAGTGAGAGATTGCCTAAAAGTCAGAGGGCCGAAAGTAGACATTTAGTCATGGAAAGGAAAATTGTTACAAGAAGTTTTCATGATTTCAGATGATTTAATGATACTATTCAAGAACAAACTTTATAAGAGAGAACAGCAAGCTCTCTGAAATGGTCTGATGCTACTGGGTTCTTGGCTATATTGTAATAGCTCCACATAATGGCTTCTCCTGGTGATGGAGACCAGCAGGGGGCTGGCTGGTATTGAAGAGCTCTTAGTTATGTTCAGATTAAAGCCAGGATTTGTTTAAAATACCAAATGTCGCTGGACTATTTTGAGCTTCTATTCACTGTTCTATAGCTTAACAGGGGGTGAGAGAGTGATACCTGAAATGGGGTTACTGCTAGAAGGTCAGGGGGCTTTGCAAAACAAAGCAAAACAGAAATAACAAAGCAAACTTACAGAGCAAAAATCACTTAGAAAACATACTGACGTTCAGGGATCGGTTCTCAGTCTTACAAAGCAACAGAAATTTCCCCTTTTGTCCAAAGAACACAATTTACTTGATTGGTTACTGTATTCCAACTACATTTACAGTATTAAATAAAATCCAATTAAGTTAAATACATTCAGATTCTGATTTTTGTTAAACTTTTCACAAAATTTTATGGATAATATCTTGGCACCATTTCCACCTGTGCTATGTGAATTTTTCTCATTTTGACTCTTTTATTTTGAATTTGGGGATTATCTCATTTCACCATTCATGCTTCCATTTGCTCCTTCAACAAATAATTACTGAATACTTGCTATTTGCCAGTCACTACATGCTGGGTCCTCACTTTATACCATGAAAATTTGTTCTAAAAAAATCAGAAAGTCAAAATTAATAGTAACAAATCAAAATGTTATAAGTTCCTGAGATACACTTTGAGTAACAGAAACAACCGAAAAGTTCTAGCCTCATAGTTTTCGTATTAAGAGATTATTGAGCACGCATCTTTAAAATCATTTTCCCTTGTTTGCCATCTCCTAGCTGAGTGGATAAGAGCTTTGTTTCTTGGTTGTGTGGGCACAGATGGGCCTGGGAGGGTAGCTCTGATACTCCAGAACCCCAGGAGGCCAAGTATTTGTCTACTCGGATGGACAGGAAAAGCAAAAAATCATTTGCCCACAGTTGCTGTCCACAGGTTTGCAGCTAAAATTCAGATTGAGCCCAGAATGATTTAGTGCTTACCGGTTGCCACAGGCACCATGCTGGGGGATGCAGCAGAGCGATTGGCTTGTGAAGTTCTCAAGCTAGTGGGGAAGACAGATGGAAGGCACGTCATGAATCACTAGTAAAATTTGCCAAGTAGGTGCAGTTT